TCGCGTTCTGGAACTCGACCGGCTTCGCTTAAAAATCTTTTTAACGGCTAAAATTTTGCTACGCTTAAAGAAAGCCAAGAAGTGCTGACGTCGCTTAGGAAGAATAAGTGAAGCGAGGAGAGGAAGCCGAACCTCGCCTAGTTGATATAGTTTGCACTGTAAATTGCATGAGCAAACTCGAGAGTCTCGGCCATCTGTTCACGATTCCCCGACTGACGAGATGCGTGCGAACTTGGAGTTCGCGATTAAATGTTTCCCGCCGAATTCGCCAAAAAAGATATGGGAGGCAACGCCTCAACGTGTCTGCACGACGATTTCCCTTCGACTTCGTTTCATTCATCGCGACGAGACGCACACGACAGGACGGGACGCGACCTTCTGTGACCTTCTGTGACCTTCATGCTCGCGCTCGAAGACCCACGAAAATCCCTCGTCCGTGATGGCCAAACGCATTCGAAGCACGCGCGATTCCCCCCGTTTCCGCCCGGTTCTGCTTCGTCTTTCGACTCTTCACGACTTTCGATGGATTCCAAGACGACCAAATTGTCGATTCTTTGCGTATTTCATCGTCTGAGAACGACGAAACAGAGTACGACGAGCAACGGGACGACCCCGAGACATCCTGTTTGCATCCGACCTAGGACGGAGCGACATCCCATGGATGTCCTCGTGAAATCCACCTGGGATGTAGAAATCCTTGAAACACCCAGAGGAGAAACACCCTCGAGGCGAGGAATGCCGTCGTCCGAGGCGCTGGATCCCCGAAACGTCCGAGGGCTTTCCGTCGTGGCTTGTGGGGCGCCGGGATCTCTGGGATCGCCCCTTGCCGCTTGGGGAAAACGGCTCATCGCAGCGTTTTGAGCCCACTTCGTCGCGTCGATTTCCCTCCCAAATGCACTCGGACGCACACACGGGAGAAGTCACGGGGTCGGTTTACCTCACCCATCGTCCGTAGATTAACGCATGCAAATATCGATTTATTTTTTTTGTCTCCATCCGATCCACATGCACGGTCGTTTCGACGTCGAGGCAGGTGCATTCTCGGGCTCCTCCCGCCTCGGCACAGAGGCCCCCGTCCCAGGCAAACGATTAAATTCCCTTTCGTTCCGTTTTTGCACGGGAGGAGACAGTCGAGGAGGCAGCATATCCTGTCGATCGCGGCTCCGAATTTCTCGGGGAGGAAATTCCGTGGGAGAATTTTCATTCACGACGAAGGTCTATCGTCCGCAGGAAGAAAATCGCGACGGCTCGCGTAAACGCGCCGTGCGAATCCTCGAGACGCACGCACGACCGCGTCCGGCGTGAACCGGACGTAGTCCGGCCCTCTGGATCCGGCGCAAAAATAAAAAAACTCGGAAAGGTCCCCGTTTCGAAAGAGACGTTCACGTGCAGGCTATATCTCCCGAGTGACACGAGCCAATTGAAGGCGAAGTCATTTATCATATTTTCCATTTCGGTTGATGGATAAAGGGTTGCCGGCTCCTCGCAGCCACGGCCGAGACGAGCCCCTGCCAGAAGGAAAAATGGGAGCCGTCCAAACGTTCACCTCCGACGGAGTCATTAATTCTAAGGTCTTCGGGTAAAGGGTACGAAAACAAATCTTCGCATTTATGCACGCTTCGTGTTTCGACGGAGGCTTCCAGAGAGGAACGCTTTTGCCTGCTGCGATGCGAGGAGATCAAATTCTGCCAGATCGAATTCCGATTCGGTCGAAGTTCGGACGTAAAAGTACGAATTTCTCCTTTTTTTTTATCCGGGGAAAGGGATCCCGAGATGCCCTTCGGACGGTCGAGAGATCGCGGCGTTCGAGAGCCTCCGTCGGAATTCCAGGCGAGGCGTTCGGGTTTTGTATGGGGAAAGGGCTGTCGACCGTCAGATGCTGGCCGTCAGATTACGGATCCCCGGGGAAGATGCGACGAGGATGCATATGCAAGAGGTGGCAAGAGAAAACATCTTCCAAAAGTCAAACAGAGCCGTCTCCATCTCTCCAGCCTCCATTCTCTTTGGCCTCCATCTTCCCATCGCTCTTCCAGATCTTATCAGATCGGATTATTAGGAAACGTAAGCGTTGAAGGAGCGGTGGGTGTCGCTCGAGCGCGTTCTTCGAGGTCCGAACGGCGAGGCAGCGGCAATCCAGCGGCAATCCAGCGGCGAGGCAGCGGCAATCCGACCAGTTCGGCGAGATGTAAGCCATGTGTTTTCAAAGCGGGGGATGCTTGCTTGCGTAATTCGTGTTCTGTGTTATCGCCCCGTCATAAACAAGACTCATAACTCGCATTCGGAGCCGAAAAAAAACGTCCCTCGACTCATTAACGACCCCGACAGCTCTCTCTCTCTCTTCTCTCTCTCTCTCTAAAAGTTGCTCGAGGACCGGTCCCACGAGCCCGTCCGTGACATCGTAGGCATCGGCAATTCGCATCCGATGGGCTCGACTCGCCCGGCAATGAGGAACGGCGAAAACGAGGTGGAAACGTTTTCAATCTCCAGCACGGAAACGAGATGAGTCAGCAGGAAAACGCGATCCGGGATTTCCTTCCGGTTCCCGACGAACCGACTCCATTTCCCCCACGAAACGAGACAAAAGGAGCAGGTGCGATATGCAGTTGACGGACGGGCGAGGAAGGCCTGGAAGGTTCGTCCGGATGGCCCGTCGGGATGGCCTGTCGGGGATGGCCTGTCGAGGATGGCTGTTGCTCTGCACGGATTATACACACATCCCCTGGACATGCACATGCATGGCCTGTATCCTATTAATTGCAACAATGTGCCGAGTCATGCTAGCTTTTGTTTTGTTCGTGCTTGCCATGACCTCCACTTCACTCCACTCCACCGGGGGATGGGAGATAGAGGCAATTTTTTTTTCTTCTTCTTTCTTTCATGAGGAGAAACGCTGCCAAGATATGACATCTCACGCAAGATGGCCGACCGCGACCGCGGCGAGCCATGAAAATGGCCGCCCCCCTTTTTTTTTCTTTTTTCTCGCGAGGCTTCGATCCCCCGTGGAACCGGCGCCGGTAACCGTCCGGTTCTGCGAAGGACCGACGGTCTCTGTTTGGACGCGGCCGAAGGTCTCTGTTTGGACGGGGACGAAGGTCTCTGTTTGGACGGGGACGAGAAACGCAGTAGGGACGGGATCGATGGTCCCCGAACCACGCGATGGGGGAAATCCTTCTCATTTTTTCATCCGGCGGAATGAGAGAACGAAGACGTCGGCGAGACTCGAAGGGAAATGGAGAAGACGAGGCCGTGTCCACGCCATTGCGACGGTGGCANATTCCCCCCCCCCCCCCCCCATATAACGTGTTAACCCGGACCGTCCGTCAGATTCATGCGACTGAAATAAAAAAAGAAAAATTGAGACATGTTGACCTCTAGTAAAAGGAAATGAGTCTCCAGAGATGCTATTTCTTTCTTCCTTCATCGGATATGTCGGCAAAAAACCTTTCACTATACTGTCTTGAAATGAGGGGGGAAGCATCTTTTTCGTGCTCTGGTGGAGGCATACACGAGAGAGGTAGCATTTAAAGTGGCCCTCTCATGTTTTTTCCCGCTTTTCCGCTCTGTGCTTCAACGTCTTTGTGGACAACCGCTTTCCCCCCACCCCCCCCCTTCCCCCCCCCCCTTCTCCGAAACCTCAAAAACCACAACACCCCCGTTTCGCCCCCTTCCCCCATTCCGCGTCTCCTCAATGGAGAAAAACGACAAAATTCGGGAAATATAAATCAGGGATGGAATGGGCGGGAAAGAGAGAGAAAAACACGATGATGAGAAGGGGGGAGGGGGGAGGGGAGGGGGGGGGGAGGCTGAATTGGGCCCCCGAGATCGAGTGGCCCGACCGGCAAATGGCCAATAAATGCCCCCATAAATGGCCCATAAACCTCGGGACCGAATCCTTCACTTTCTCGCCGTTTACGATTCATTCCTGCCCCGTAAATAACAAAAAAATCGGATCGGTGACACCGTTAATAAAGAGGTAGGGCCGACGATGGCCTCGCGGATGGCCTCACGGATAAGGGGAGAATGACATTAATAGAAGCTTCCCCTTAACGATGGATGGGATTTTAAATGGCGGGCTCATTAACGACCGCCATTATTAGCCTTTAGAAAAGAAAAAAAAAAGTATGGGGACATTCTTCATCTTCCTGTCGACTGAACGGCTCCCGTGCGATTTTCGGGGCTGTTTCTGTGAGGTTTTCGGGGCTGTTTCTGCCGAGACTTTGCTTCGTCGCGGGTCGGGTCGGGGAGTCGGCGGAGGTCGGTGTCGTCGGTGTCGTCGGGTCGATGCGGGGATCGTGTCGTTGATTGGCGCGACGCGACGCCGGGGATGTCCCAAAAATTAATAACATTTTAATGAGTTTTAAAAAGCCTCCGAAACGAAGTGTAAATCGTCCGCATGCCCGCACTTCTCTTCTCGCCTGCACGTTCCCGTTCGCATGCTCGCGATGAACGGATTTTACACACTTTGCAGACTTGGTTGATTTTGCACGAGTTTCTGCTGTCAAAAGAGAAACCAAATCGGCGAGCGGGTCTTTACGACGGTCGGAAAATTTCCCCGGCCGCCTCGGATGGCGTGTTACGGCCGAAATAATACTTTAAAACCGATCCGAGCGAGCGATAAAAGTCGTTTTTCGAACTTCGGACGCGACGAACGGCGAAAGCGATTCTCGCGCGACAACCGGGAAACTCCGTGCGATTCTTCTTTACAAGGTGGCAAATCGGACTCGAAATTCGGTCGATGCGACGGAATCTCTCGGCGCAAATCGCGACAGAACGAGATTAAGATGCGAATCTTCACCATCGAGGGAGTTTGCGATTCGGGATGCCGTTCGAAAACGGTTCTACATTTGCATCTTGCGAATTTGCGGCTACTTCGAGGCGTTTTACCGGAATCGATGCGATCGGTCCGAGCTTCCCGAACCGATCCGAGCACTTCTAAAGGCGTATTTCTCGTCCTACGGCCCGAACGGGCGGCGAGCAGTCGCGAGGAAAATTCTTAACGTCTAAAATACGAATTTTGGGTAATTTCGTAGGTACTTACCAGCACCGGCGACGTGGAGTTTCTTCATCCATGGGTATATGACGGGTTGAGATCCACTGGAATCCGAATCCTCTCCGGCCTGCTGGCAACCCGGCTGTTGGGCCTGAGAGCAATCGGGGATCGGCGGTGTGGTCCCCGAATGGCAAGACTGTTGCTGCAGACCGCCCTGTTGCTGCTGGGGCGGTTGCTGACTTAGATTCGCACTGTTTGGCGTGTACGGGGGCTGGGGCGAGGAGACCGGGGATCGGTGTCCCAAGATGGGACTCTGAGTTTGCACCACGGGGACACCCACACTCGGGGCGACGTGCCCCGGCAACGGCTGCGACAACGGCATGGCACATGGTTGCTGATAGTATCCTTGGACCGGTGCCGGAGGACCTCCGTATCCCATGTTATCACGGGGATATTGCGGGTGATGGTGGGGATGATGCACTGGAGCACTCGCGTATCCGTATCCTCCCTGATGATGGTAGTATTCACTCGCTCCATGATTGGGAATGTAACTACTTTGCGAATATTCCTCGGTCGGCGGGAACTTGGGCTCTTGCACGTACGGCGAGGCTGCCGAGCTCATCAAGAACGAGCTCATGATCATTAATTTTGAGGTGAATTGGATGGAAATAATTTTTCTTCCCTGTTGTCGTTTAACTGTTCTCGTGGCTCCGCCTGCACTTCCTCACGTGACTCGGCATGACGAATGGGGGTTCGACAATGTGACCCCCTCTCGCATGACGTCACCATTGATGGATGGCGGCGGTGCATGCGCCGAAACCTCGACTCCGTCCCCCTCGCGCCTCCAAGCGGGAACCCACGGAACTAACCCGTCCTCCACCCCCACCCGCACCCCCACCCCCACCGGGTACGAGTACCAATGGAACGCATCGCGACTCGGTCGATGTACGAACGTTATGAAGGGTGCAGACGGGGACGAGCGATGGGAAGAGAAGACGTATGGCGCACTGTGTCCCCTCTTCTTTTTCCCCACGGAGTGATCGATATAGAGGCAATGCTTGCTGCGCCCCGAATGTGACAAATGGTGTCCTAGCAAGGAGCCTCTTTATATACACTTTCGGCCCCCCTCTTTATACTCGGCTCGAGGACGTGGGCTCGATTCCGCTCGTTCATCCTCCCGTGATTAAACCGGAAGACTCATTCGATACGGTTGTTGACTTGGCACGAATCGGGACCCGAGATCGAGCCGCAATCGGACCGATCGAGCGGTGAAAAAGCGGGAACTGCCCCGATCGGCGGGAATCGCCCCGATCGGCGGGAACTGCCCCGATCCGCGACGCGAAGCACGGAACGATGGATGGATTCCTCCGACGTCGAATGTGCACGGGCACCCCAGGGCGAGCGGGAATATCGATGAAGGATTCTACAAGCTGCCCACGTGGCACGGCATACTAAAGAAGAACTTGAAGAATGACTGTGTAAAAGAGGCGGGAAAACCAGAAGCCGACCAAAGGGGAGACATTACTCACTTGGGACCCCCCGACTGCGGGGACCTCATCCATATCGGCCTCGAGAGCCTGACTGCAGGAGAAAAAACCACACGGAGGGAATTCCTGCATAGGGTGATTAACCTCGGCGACCTTTTACACTCTTGACCACTTCTATGGAAAAAGGATTGCTTCTGGGGCAATAAAAGGCCGAAAAAACACGATCGTAAAACCCACGTGGGAGACGTGGGGCTATTTGCTTATCCCTTTCTTCCTGGATTGGGGGCTTCTGGCCCCTTCTGATCCGTATCCAGACCGGATTCCCGGCGTGAAATTGGACCTCGCGGATGGCCTGCAATCGAGGGCCTCTCCGAATCGCAGATCTGGGGGAACGAAGTCGTCTGGAGCGATGCTTTGCGCTCGAGTCCCGAAATGCTGACGCGGGACTTGGGGCATCTTCGATTCAAAATTCTCAGATGGATTCTCAGAGCATCTTCGATTCAAAATGCATTTAGATGAGATTTATAAATAAATAAGTGAATAAATAATTGTAAAAAAAAACGTATCGGCGTGAAAACTTTGTTCCAAGCTGAAGGTCGTAATAATCATAGTTAACTACATTCGTTAAGACTCTCATATCAACAAAACATTAATAACGTTTTAATTGAATAATTTATACGAATTCCTGCACGTCTTACGATAATTGCCTCCAGAAACTGCCACGGAGTGAACTCGCTCGCTCCGAAACGACGCAACTTAAACTGGACCTGATTACCGAAGAATGCACCGAAAACGGATGAGCAGGGGCGAGTGAGGCCACCTGTCGAAAAAAAAAAGATGATGCAGGAAGGAGAAAAAAGCGAGGCCGACAAAGGCTGCGAACGGAAGTTCTGGTCCACAAAATACACGGCTATTACGGCTCTCTCTGCATGTCAAGAGAGAAGGAATAAGACAGAACGAAAAAAAAGAAAAGCTGGAAGGTATGAACTATGAAGGTGCATGTGCTCGAGGAACCGTGTAGTATAAGAGCTGGAGGACAGCCGCACCGTGTCACAACACTCTATGATTACGGGGATATTAATGGTTTTCCATCGGAAGCAATTGTGTGTCCCGAGACCGAGCTCCAGGTTCACATCTGCGATATCACGGTCGTGAATCCACAAGGGGGGGGGGGGGGGGGGGGGGAAAAAAAAAAAAAAGGGGAATGAAATTCTCATCCTAAAGAAACGAGATTCAGCGTTCTCCACAACCCCGGGGAGATGGAGCTTCAAATTTGCTGGAGCGAATCTGTGGTGATAGAGGAAAAAGCATGCCAGATTTCGTTCCAGTTGATGTTCTCAGAGAGGAATACGGAGAGGTTGAATTTTGCGGCGGGAAGGGGGTTGAATAAAGGTAATAGGCGCTATAGCGACTATTAATGGGTGCAAACGCTGTAATCTTGGTTTGGCGCCATGATCGTCTTGAGGAATAAAAACATTTAATTTATTTGTAAAACATAAGCTAAAGCCATACCTAGTTACTCTGAAAGTTTCTCAACAGATCATTCATGTAATTTAATTAAATAACACCTCGCAGAAACAAGAAATTCATAAACTTATAACTTCAAAAACGACAAACAGTTCCATAATGTTTCTTTTTTTAAACGGCGTTTTAGACCTTTCAGACTGGAATCAAGGCTACTACCGGAATAACGATGTTTTTTGCCCTTTTGAGCTCCTTTGCTATTGAACTTTAAATTTTTATGTCCAATATTTTATTTTAAACTTTTTTTCTTAATTTACCTCATCATACCATATATTATAAAATATACATATAATGAAATAACTGAATATTGCGAAACGGGCGGGAGAAATAAGGCCTCTAATGGAATTGAGCGACGCATAAATGTGCCCATTGTAGTGTAATATAGGACACAAAGTCACGAGAATCCCCAAAAATTACCATCGATGCAATGAAAATGCGTCTGAAAGGGTTAAAGTATGAAATTCGCAAATTGTCAGAGCTGCGCGTGAGCCAACATTCGCGAAAAGCAGGCAATATGTAAACTATGTGAGTAAACTGCCGAGAAATTCTCATGTTTAAGGCATTTCTCTACTATTAAAAATTAAATTAAAATATGAATGAAGCGCTTACACTTGCCAGAATAACTCAAATACCCAAGTAAATGTAGGAATGTACCAATGTGCACTCATTAAGCTAGTCAAGTTTNAGTCACAAAAGCGGCCTTCTCCTCTCTTCTTTCTCTCTTTCTCTTTTCTCTCTTCTTTATGCTCCGAAATAAAAGGGGGACAATGGTCGAAAATTGCCTCTGATTGGCTCCATCCCACTCGATTTTCGAGTCTGCACGCCGAGATCACACGAGATAGCACGAGATCGATCGGGAAAATCGCCGGAATGCCAACAGAAAGTGACTCTTCGAATTTAGAGACGCCGGAGGGGATTTTCGTTTCACTTCGGTTTCTTAAAATCTCATTTCGTAAACGACTCGGACGAGAATGAGATTAAAATCCTCGTAAATAAAATTCGCAATAATCACAGAACCATCAAGAAGCGTAATCGATCTGACAGAAAATAAATTCTCCCTTTCGCTCTGAAAGAAACACCATCTATTTGGTGAAACAGCATATAGCAGCATAGAAACACCATATCTAGTTTCCATCTATTCGTTCTTCCATCCCCGGTAACGTTTCAAATCGATTTTGTAGCACTTTCGCATTTCGTTACAGCGTTACAGCATTTCGTTACGGCGGCTCCAAAATCACGACGCGAGTCACATCGCAATACGTCATTAAATTCGCTTGCGAAATCTCGAGCCACGCGAAGATGGCGTCGGAATGGCCATTCCCAAAACGCGTTAGTCACGAAACCATCGGAATCACGCCGTTTCGGATTCATTCCTGAACCGGATGCCTCGTTACGAGAAAATGCGGGACGGGACAGCTTCCCTCGGACCGGACGCGAAATGCAAAGGAATTCCAGTCTCCTCCCGCGCAACCAGAATTTTTTTTTTTTTTTCCCTCGTGCAGCGTCCTTGCACCTGTTGAGGATGGGCATCCACGAGAGAGAAAAGAGAGAGAGAAAGAAGAGAGGAGAAGGCCGCTTTTGTGACTCTGATCATTTTTCAAATGTCAAGGAATCCCCTGGCTGTCAAGGAGTGTGACAGTCTCCGACCGACGGACCGGGCACCATACACAACACACACGCACGCACAGACGACATTTTTTTTTTTTCGTTCCTTCCTTCCCCTGGGCCTTTCGCATAGATACCAGCAGTTACATTCCATGAATATGTCCTGGCCTTGTAAGTGCCTCCCATAGAAAGAGAAATCGAGCGATGTTATCGGCGAACCGGTCCCCAATGTCATGGAAATCGAACCTAATCGACTCCATTTTTCAACTCCCCTTCCTCGGTGTCTAACTTTGGCACCAGAAGAAACAGATTCCGAAAAGTTTTTTCCTTGTTTTGCAGATATGGAAGTGACCCGGGGTTGCACGTCGGGCGTTTTCACGTCGAGGGGAAGAGGAGGAGGAGGGGGGGAGGGGGGGGGGGGGGAATTCTCCTCGTCTACAAAGAGATGAACTCCTCAAAGCGAACAAATGAAACCGATCCAGCTCGGCCATTAATTTTCCCGGGGATCTGGCAGAAAGGGAGGGAAAAGTGCCATTAATCTTACCCCCTTACATGTCAGCCCGGGTGGACCCCTCTCTTTTCTTCCTTGTCCCCCCGCACGGAAAAGCCAAAATCCCAATAAACATTTTGAGAGGAACTACGCCGATAAGAGCCCGGGGAACTGGGTGAGATTGGATCTGGGAAGCCATCATCTCTCGGAAATGATGTTTGTCCCCTTTAGTTCGCATTCCCCTCCCGTTGTTTTCATTAAATCGGCTAATAATCTTCGATCGCATCCTCCCCGAGGAGAAACAGTCACGTATGTTTTCCGGCGCTTGTAAACACACCGTACGCGATAGCTCATTAATTATGCTGCTTCTCGGCCGTAATGGGCGACCAGCGATTCGCTTACCGTGAAAACTCACCCCTATCGTAATAATCTCGATCGTTAGAATCACATTCATGCAAACCATCGACAATAGTACGTAATTATTACAAAAAAAGACCCATCACAGCATTCACTCCTCTTTTATTCCGAACACTGACG